GGAGCCATGGGGAGCCGCTGGGCTGGGGGCCAGCGGTGAAAGCCGAGCGCGGGGGCATGGCGCTGCTTTTAGCTGGGCCCTGGCGGAGACCCAGAGGGGACGGAGGGGGGTCCGGCACACGCCTGGCAGCGGGGAGCACGGGGGTGACGTGGGGCCGGGGCAGGCGTGCAACACGTTGGTCCCGTGCAACGTTTCCCCCCATGCGACACTTATCCTTGTGTAATACGCTGTCCCCGTGCAACACGCTTCCCCCCCTGTGCAACGCTGCGGTGCAACGTGCTGCCCCCATGTGAAGCTGCTGTGGGACACGCCACCCCCGTGCGAAGTTGTGGTGTAACGGGGCAGCCTTGTGCAAGGCTGCGGTGCAACACGGCAGCCCCGTGCAAGGTTGTCGTGCGACGCAGCAGCTCCGCACAAGGCTGCGCTGTGACATGGCAGCCCCGTGCAAGACTCTGGTGTGATGTGGCAGCCTCGTGCGAGGCTGCGGTGCAAGGCGGCAGCCCCATGCAAGGTTCTGGTGCAACACAGCTGCCCCGTGTGAGGCTGCGGTGCAACATGGCTGCCCCGTGTGAGGCTGCAGTACAACGTGGCTGCCCCGTGTGAGGCTGCGGTGCGACATGGCTGCCCCGTGTGAGGCTGTGGTGCAACAAGGCAGCCCCGTGTGAGGCTGCGGTGCGATGCAGCAGCCCCATGCAAGGCTGCGGTGCGACATGGCTGCCCCTTGCAAGGTGCGACATGGTGCCCCTTGCAAGGCTGCGGTGTGATGCAGCAGCCCCATGCAAGGCTGCGGTGCAACGTGGCAGGCCTGTGCAAGACTGTGGTGTGATGTGGCAGCCTCGTGCAAGGCTGTGGTGCAACAAGGCAGCCCTGTGTGAGGCTGCGGTGCGATGCAGCAGCCCCATGCAAGGCTGTGGTGCGACATGGCTGCCCTGCATGAGGCTGCGGTGCAACGTGGTTTCCCCGTGTGGGGCTGTGGTGTGATGTGGCAGCCCCGTGCGAGGCTGAGGTGCGATGCGGCAGCCCTGTGCAAAGTTGTGGTGCAATGTGGCAGCCCCGTGCGAGGCTGCGGTGCGAGGCGCAGCCCCGTGCGAGACCCACCGGCGATGTCGCACATCTCGGCCTCGGTGGCGTTGGCCAGCGCTTCCTCCAGCTCGGGCTCCAGCGTGATCTGCTCCTCCCGCGGGATCTCCCGCGTCGGGTTCTTGGGCACGAAGGGCTTCCCTGGGTGCGGGCACACGGGTCGCACCCTGCCTGGCCTCGCACCAGCCGGGTGACACCGGACACGGTGGCCCCGGGGTTGGGGCTGGCAGAAGCACGTGGGGATGTGGCCGCTGCCGGAGGGCGACCTGGCATAAGGGTGGCCGTGCCTGGGGGTGACGCTGCCGGGGGTGGGAGTCTGGGGGGTGGCATTGCCAGCGGGTGACAGTCTGGGGGGGG